TTCCTCGGATCCTGATGATTTCCTAGCATTAACCCCCGGCCACTTTCTGATCGGTAGCCCTATCACTGCTCTCCCAGAACCTTCTTATCTAGATATATCAATCAATCATCTTAGTGAGTACCAGAAGCTTAGTCAAATGGTTCAACGGTTTTGGTCCAGATGGTCTTCAGAATACGTTAGCCAAATGCAACACCGTACCAAATGGAAACTGAAGTCCCAACAAGAAATAAAACCAGGACAATTAGTTTTACTCAAAGAAGAAAACCAGCCACCACTAAGATGGAAACTAGGAAGAATCCTTCAAACATTTCCTGGCAATGATTCACTGACGAGAGTGGTTTCAATCAAGACTTCAAATGGCACAGTAAAACGTGCTATAACCAAAATTTGCATTCTCCCTCTTGAAGAACAAACTAACTAATTGAAACTACAGAGTTTCAAGGTGGGCGGCATGTTGTGACGTCATCACTGTGTCACCTGAAAAATGAAACATCTGGCAACAGCGCGCTGTCAATAACCAGAAGAGAGAGAAAAGGCAACCAACGAAAAACGACAGAAGGCGGCACCATGACGATTCCCTCCGAGCAACCGACAGCAACAACATGCTCTTATTATCATTTCTATTGAATTCTATTTTTTTATTAAAATTATTGTAAAATAAACCATCAACAATACAGTCCACTCAATTATTCTATCATAATAACAACATTAAACACACTAGATAAAAATGAACCATCTCTAGCCGTTTTTATAGACCTATCAAAAGCATTTGATACGGTAGATCACAAACAACTCCTGGCAACTTTGGAATGTATTGGATTTAGGGGAATTCCATTGAATCTAATGAAGGATTATCGCTCGAATAGGACTCAGCGTGTAAAAATAAATAATACCTTTAGTGAGGAACGAGTAAAGGTCTGGGCACACATGACCGCACCGAGTCCGCACCGAGCCCGCACCGAGACACGGCCGTGTCTCGGTGAATAGTTGTACCGTGTTTTCTTATGTCGTAGTCTTCACATCTACGCACCGTGCCCGCGCCGAGCCCGAGTGACACCACCGCACCGCGTCCGTACCGTGCGAGATTAGTTTTGTTTAATTTTTGACGGGCACGGTGCGTTGCAGAAATGGAGAAACTGATAGAAGAAGTCAAAAAGTATCCTGTATTGTACGACCAAAGAAATGAAAAATATAGGAATGCTGAATATAAGGAAAGGGTATGGACTTTAATTGCTACGCATTTAGAAATAAAGGGTAAGTCAAAATACATATGTTTTATTTTCAATTAAGAATCCTGTTAAAATAGGTTGAAATTGATTATACCTACTATACAGGGTGAATCTGCACACGTACAGGCAGGAAGCCAACTGACGAAGTGACAAACTACCGACCGCACTCGTAGTACGACCGTCATGCGGCCGTGTGTTGGAAATGTGTGGCTTTTACCTTATTGAGCGACACACTGCCGTGTTACTGCACGGACTCGGTGCGGGCTCGGTGCGGATACGGTGCGGTCATGTGTGTCCAGACCTTAATAGAGTATGGCGTGCCACAAGGCACGGTCCTCGGACCAGTATTATTTAATGTATATCTCAACCAGCTATTTGGATTAAACATTGATGGAGAAATAATCAGCTTCGCTGATGATACAGTTATTTTATTTAGGGGAAAATCCTGGACTGAGCTAAAGCTCACAGCAGAGAAAGAACTTTCTAAAGTATTTCATTTTTTCAACCATAGGCTGCTAACTGTTAACATTGACAAGACATATTTCATCCCATTCACTTCCTACAAATCAAATCTGCCACATTATGAAACCCTCACTATTTCTAGTGATTGCTTATGCCCCAAATTATGTATTAAACTACAATCATATGGTAAGTATCTTGGCGTAATTATTGACACGCATCTTAAGTGGGATAAACATATTTTATATGTAATGAAAAAAATTAGATCTTTATTTACTAAATTCAAACTTTTGAAAATGATCTTTCCACTCCACTATCTGAAAATGTTTTATTACGGGTTGGCTGACCCACATCTTAAATATGGAATTTTGGCGTGGGGAGGCGTAACAAATAATTTTATGCAGATGATTGAGAAATCTCAAAAATGGCTATTAAAAATAATACTGGGGAAAAGCATTCTCTATCCAACTAACTTATTGTTCGCAGAGGCAAACATTCTTGATATCAGGCAACAATTCTGCTTGTCAATTTTAGTTAAACAGCATAACCAGAAATCAATACTGACTCCTATTGACCACTGTTATGAAACACGACATAGGGACAATAACTCTCGCATTCCTAAAGCATTGAAAACAATTACTCAAAGAAGCTTTTTTTTTCTGGGCCCCCGTATATACAATGTTATACCTAATGAAATAAAGTTATGGAATTCAAAAAACTTATTTAAAAAAAAGATAAAGGACTGGCTGACACATATTGGTAGAGTGCAAGCACATAGATTGGTTGACATGAAGAATGTATACTATGAATAATATTAACTAGTAAAAATTCGATTTAATTTATGCAAATACGCAAAGCTCATGGTTGCAATCTTCTGCTATGCTAGCCTATAAACGCACTTCTTGTACCAAATACTAAATAGGTAAATGTTTATATACCACCGCAGTATACCTATTAGCTATGTTCTTCTCACATTCTCGCCCTTAAACTTTTGAACAAATACAGCCACAAGAGTGGCAAACGTTTCAGAAAATTTTCATACATTTACCATACATTTACTCGCTGTCTATTAGTTATTAATTTATTAGTTATTAGGTTAGATATAGATTCATGCACTAATTATATTTAAAATATAGGATTTCTTCCCTATTATTATGTTCGCTAACTTTTATCGAATTCCTATTTTTATTTTCGTTTTGCTGCACGATTATGATTGTGATTTTACTTGGGTGCGCACAAGATCTGAAGATCTTTAGACGCATAACCCCAAATATATCTACATAATATCGAGTGCCTATCTAGATTAATATTCTTTCTTTTGTTAATTGTAATATGTAACTCAATTACGTAATATATTTATTTATTATTATATTATTATTATTAGGAAATTCTAAGGACGCTTCAATTTGTTCTAGAAGTTGCAACACAGTGGGTTTTGTCAATCTGAATCTTCAAAAAACGTTAGATTGTCCATCTCCTCAAAATGTTTATTTCAATCATAACTTTTTCTGGGGAAATCACATCTTCAAACAAATCCAATACTTCCAAATCATCTTATATCCATTTTTCAAACAACAATTTTCTCAAACACAACACAACGCAAACTTCACCAGAAACTAGAAAACTGAGAAAATTTTATTTCAATTCAATTTTTGCTACTTTCTTTGAAGCATATTTAACGTTTGCTTATGTCAACAAAAGCATGATGCAAATTACTTGCGCATATCATCGTCACTCTGTTAAGGGAGGAATAAGCCTAGAAATTCCTGGGCTTAGTTAAGCTTATCTTAATGAGACTAGGTTAGACTGGTGGAAAAGAAATTATAATATAAGCGGCACTTAACGTTAAGTAAACTTAAATTTGCGTTGGTGGAAACGACCATTATTGATGTTTGGGTAAACTCATCTTAATGTAGATTTGTAATTAGTTACTGGTCTCATGATTGTTAGTGACAGTACAGGTTCTGTGCAGTACAGAATTTCCTGTCATCGTGGAATGTGGTCGATTGACTAGGAATGCTGTGTAGAAAGCATCGTGTTTATTTTGGATATAAATAATACATGTTGACAATGCACCTTCTTAAAATGTTCATTTACAATTCTTACATCTTCTGATAAAACTTGGGCACATCCTTGATTCATGTGTATAACCATACCTTTAACAATAATTGAGGACCCCATTTTTGTCACCTTTATATCCATAATTTGAATCTCAGCTGAGCTAGTTTTGAGTTTATCGTTTCGCTTCATGAGATTCTCACTTCTAATATCATTCACTTTTTCTTCTTGAATTTGAACATCCATAATACAATTCTGTTTCTAATCAAAAAGTTACGCAAATCACCAAACTTGCAGATTTAAGATAATTTTATAGACTAAGTATTTTTTTAGATGCCTCAAAAAACAATCAAGAGGATGCTGAACATTTTCAGCCTCCTCTTGTTTTCGGATGCAAAAAATAACTTTTTGTTATACTTTTCAAACTGTGACAGGACTTTGTTCAAGTCATTTTTACCTTCCTCGATTAATTCTCAAAGTATTGAACTTTACTGCCAATAAGATTAGGTAAAGTCCGTCGATTTTAATCTGATACTCCAAAGGAATGTGAGCTAATGGCTCTCTACATTGGAACGCCAATGGTCACCTGACGTCACACCTGTCTTTGCCATAAGCTACACCCCCTCGCTTCTCATACAGAAAGTGTCAGATTAAAAACGACGGACAATAGTAGTTGACCTATTTTAACTTTTTCGTCCCTCTATTTCTAGCCCTAGCCAATAAACGTCTTTTCAAAAGACTATTTAAAACTTTCGAAAATTTTCTGTCGGATTGCCTTCGAGAGACAAAAGTTCTTGAAACCTTACATCAGACATTTCCAGCATCTTTGGCTTGACTCAACTTGAAATCAATTTTCATCCAATGTGGTTAGATAGAATGCTTGCTTTTCCTCCCAAGTCAGATCAGAATTTTTTTGAGTATCTGGTACTTATTGTTTCAAAAAATTGATTGTAAATCTGATGAAATAAAAAATGAAGAATTCTAAACAAATTCCGAGGAGAGTTACGTCATTTCAAAGATTCGCATTTATCACTTATTTCGAAACATGTATGTTTTAAAGGCAATAAACCAGGACATAACAATCTCGCTGTTTTCTAAAAATCAATAGGCAGTTAAATCACTCAAATTCGAATCTTGACTGCAACTACTGTAGAAAAACCATTGAACAAAAATAATACCATTCTAAGATGAAAACAAACAAGAAATTTTCTAGGACTATACGAAATTTGACTATAAAACTAGATGTTAACTCACCTAGATACCAAAGATCCTGTTGAAATTTTAACAGTATCTAGTACAGTCCTTATCACTTTAATACCACTCAACACCACTGCACATGTTATTATTAAAGATTTAATTAAAGCCCAATGCCTATTAGCAAGTTCTTTTATATTCCGCACATTGTTTTGGCTTGTATCGGAATTATGTTTTTATAAATTAGCATAATTGCTATTGACACATTTTAGTTTATTTTTTTTTATCGGAATCGCCACAAGATAATGATGTACCTATATTTATATTATTTAATTTAGAGCAGTAATTTATTTTGGTATCAGTTTATATAGTATTATTTTCAATAAGGCTAAAAGTTATTCTTATTAAATTATATAATTTATGTAATTTTCCATTCAATAAGCCTATTCCAAATAATATGTGAATAATTACGTACCCACCTATTATATTCTTGGAGGAAGTATCATCATTAATCAAATTAGTTAATTATTATTTACAAAATGAACATTTTGACCTGTACACGATTAAGCGTATAAATTTAGTTTTTATTTGTCGTTATGAGAATTTTTACAAGATAAAATTTATTACCATATTTTAATATATCGATTATGCATATAGGTAGTTTTTATTGCGCATTTGAATTTACTTATTAATTACTTTTTGAGCTAATACTCTTTGAAAATGTATTTACCTTACCTTTATTCAGGACAGATCATCATAGGCGATCACTCGATACCGAATATAATTATTATCTTCTATTCTGTTCTTATTGTTGTCGATTTGTGTGATTTTTAGTGGCTATATAAACCAATTCTGGAACCGCACATTCTTCCACAGTCTTGGCACACCCACTCTCTGGCAGCATTGTCTCTTCCTCTGTTCTCTCGCTGCTTCCCTCTTTTCGGTCTCGTGTCTGCGTCGCTGTTCTTCGAAAATTTGAGATCCGTCGTGGATTACTCGACACCATGAGGGACTATCATTTGTTGTCATCTTCCAGTTGCTGGTATCGATGCGGCACTCTACCATATTCCTCCTAAGTACATCCTTGTAGTGTGTGTGTGATTTTGATCATCCTCTTTCAGTTGACTGTAGAGCATCTGTCGTGGAAAACGTATTTTGGGCATGCGTCAAGTTGACCTATCCAGCGAATTTAGTGCTTTCATGCTAGTTATTTTAGCCTCCTTTAAAACACTAATGTTCGTTCGTCGGTCCTGCTATTAAATCCGTAGCATCCCTCTTAGGCAGCGCTGGTGTTATTTTTCTAGGCTTTTTATGTGTCTTCTGTAGGTGGTCTATGTTTCGCAGCCATATGTAAGTGTTGCTATTATAACTGAGTTGCAGGCGCGAAGTTTGGTCTCGGCGCTGATATCATGATCGTTGGAGAGTCGATCTCTAGAAGTCGCCCGAATGCTGCGCTAGCACACTCCCAAAGTATGGATATAGTGTTCTACGTTCTGCAAAGAATGGGTCATCTATAGATATATTTGGGACTTAGGGATTAGTATCTGGTGCGGGTTGGTGCAGAGACTGCTTCTTAATAAAGTTGACCTCTAGGACGATTCTCCTGTATGCCTGGTTGAATGCATTGATGCATTCCCTCATGATCGTCCTCTGTATTGGACATCATGACGTTATTATCCGCATATTGAAGTTCAATTATCGATGTCGTCGATATTTCCGTCTAGTTTCCTAATCTGTTTAGGTTGAATAAGCCACCATCAAATGTGTACAGGACCTCCAATCATGACTGCAGGTGACCCTCGACAAGTTGAAGTATGGATCCTATAAATAGAGAAAATAATAATAATAATAATAATCATAATCATAATAATAATAATAATTGTAGTGTTAGGTACCAGATAGGTAATTGATATTAGGTAGGTTGAGTGTCATGTATTCTATGGTGTGATGTAGACAAATCAGTCATAGTTAGTCAGGTCACTTTATTAAGAGACACAATGACCTATTAACACAGATAGACAGAACAATAAACAATAATATCGGTTGACTATATGCCATGAACCGCATCTCTCCCCACTACTTATTAATCCTTGAGTTATTTTGTATCTTTCTCTAACACGTGGAAAGCGATTATTTTTCAATGAAAATTAGCAACGCTGCAAAAAAATCAATCCCACCTCGAATTCCACCTTTCCACCAATCAGCGCACTGATTCTGATTTCATTTTCAGAGTTGCCAAGTATGCGATAGTGAAATGGAGGCGGAGTTAGCGGAATCATTTGAATCCCTATTCCTAACCGCTCTCACAGCTCACCCCCCCTGGCCCATAAACATGTAGTCAACCAAAACAAAGCTATTTCATCAATGGGATGTTCTGTCTATCTGTGTTAATAGGTCATTGAAGAGACACGTTTGTAAGCAGGTGAAGACCACGAACAATAAATTGTTTTAAAAAAGATATACAGTCATGGTGGCAGCGGTGAAAGCATTATGCCTTTGAGAAGAAATAAGAAAAATTTACAGGACTCGACTGAATTATTGGGACATTCGGATTTCGTGCCAGCAGCCGATCCTGTTTTATTGCCTACGCGGCAGCACAAGGTAAATGTTCCCATACCTAATTAATTTAATTTTGGAGATCCTTTATCATGGCCCCAATGGGGCAAAAGATTTGACAGATACCTGAATGTTTCTGGTCAAATGTCAAATTCAGATGAGGAAAAAATAAACTTACTTGTATACGCTATGGGAGAACAGAGTAAAGAGATTCTTATTCAATTTCCAATTAATCCCTCGACATATGTTGAAATGATAAGAGCTTTCGACAATTACTTTATTCCGCATCGTAATCTCATTTTTGAAAGATTTAAATTCAATTTAAGAGTGCAACTTCAAGGTGAAGTTATAAAAAAAACTATTACGGCATTACATACCCTGGCAATACAATGTAATTATGGGTCTCTCAAAGAAGAATTAATTCGTGATAGAATAGTTGTTGGAATGTTGGATAAAAAATGCAGTGAAAAGTTACAGTTGATCTCTAATCTTACTCTTCCTGATGCGATTCTTTATGCTGAACAAGCTGAAATTCAGACTCAACAATCAGCTCATTTATTACAAAAACAATCAACTTCAGGAACTTTAAATGCTCTTTCTCGTCCATCATCACATTTATCATCCAGGAGGTTCTGTGAATTTTGCGGTTTAAATTTCCATCAAAGAACAAATTGTCCAGCCAGGAATTCAATTTGTAGATCTTGTTCAAAAAACGGACACTGGGATAAAGTATGCAAGTTGAAGATATCAAATTCAGCTGCTTCGAGCACTCAAGGAACCAAATGTCGTGCATTCAAGAAAATAAATAATCCACATTTGCCAAAATTGGACGACTTAGTACTTCAGGTAATCCTCAAATTGAGGATATTAATGTCTCAAATGATTTTGAGTGCGCCCCAAAAAATTCTTTTTATATAGGAAAAATATTTGTTAATAATCAATCACAATGGATGGTTGATTTAAAAATAAATAATTCAGATTATTCTGTAATTTTTTTGGTAGATACTGGAGCTGATGTAGTATGTCTTCCCAAACAATTTTTGCCCCAATCGGCTATACTTTTAACTTGTAGTGACACTATATCAGGTCCGGATGGTGAATCTTTGTGTGTTATGGGTACAATATTTATAAATTTATTGGAAATGATACTCAAAAATCTTGCTATATTGAAGCTTATGTCTTAGAAAATCTTAATATTCCTATTTTGGGGCGTCCAGGAATTATCAAGCTTGATCTTTTATCCTTTAATGGCTTAAATTTAAATCGAAATAAAATACTTTGTTTAACTTCCAGAGTTAACATTTTTCTAGAATTTCCAGGGCTTTTTAATGAAATTGGTGAATTTAAAGATGAGATTTCATTAAAAATTATTCCAGATGCTAAGCCTTCCATCCAATCTACTCCTGGAATTGTTCCGCTTCCGTTATTAGATAAATTAGAGAATGAAATCAATACACTATTTAAATATAATTGAAGAAGTTAGGGAACCAACCGAATGGGTGGCTCCGATTGTGGTAATACCAAAAGGTGATTCTGTCAGACTTTGCTGTAATTATACAAAGCTGAATAAAAGTATTTTACGTGCCTATTTCCCAATACCTTAAAGTTGAAATTTCTTTGACAAAAATAAGAGGATCTAAAATACTTTTAAAATTAGATGCTTCCTCAGGATTTTACCAATTAAGGCTTTCAAAGGAATCTCAATATTTGACAACATTCGTATCACCTTTTGGTCGGTTTTTCTTCAAGAGACTTCCTTTTGGAATATCATGTGCTCCAGAATATTTTAGTCAGAAATTTTCAAAACTTTTTACAGGTGTCAAAGGGATAATAATTCATATTGATGATATTCTGATTCATGCAGCTACAGTAGAAGAACATGATTTCATCCTACGAAATGTTTTATTGAGACTTAATCAGGAAGGTATAACTTTAAATAAATCAAAATGTGAAGTTGGTGTGGAAAGCATAAAGTTTTTAGGTCATATAATAAATTCATCTGGAATACAAGTAGATCCATCAAGGATTGAAGCAATTCAAAAATTTCCCGAACCTTCAAATAAAAAAAATCTTCAACAATTTTTAGGAATGGTTAATTTTTGTGCCCGTTTTATACAAAATAAATCGGATATTCTCGAACCTCTGACTTCGCTATTGAAAAATGGTGTGACTTTTTCTTGGGACATTGCTCAAAGAAATTCTTTTGCTAAAATTAAAGATTTATTGACAAATTCAACTTGCCTATCTTATTTTGATCCTAAAAAGAAAATTGTGGTGAGTGCTGATGGATCGTCATTTGGTTTGGGATGTAATCTTATGCAAATTAATGAAAATTCTGATCGAGAAATTGAACTTTAACTTAAACAGAATCCCGTTATGCTCAAATTGAGCAAGAAACTTTAGGTTTAACTTGGGCGTGTGAAAAGTTTAAGGAATATCTAATTGGTCTTTCGAATATCATTTTATACAAACGAATACAAACTGAATGAAAACTAAACATTTAGATGATTTAACACCTCGTCTTCAAAGTTTTCGTATAAGGTTAATGAGATATAATTATTCGGTTGAATATACTCCTGGTAAAAACCTTCAAGTAGCTGATAC